GGTGGGGGGGTCTTGCCCGCCCGCCTGTGCTTCTGCGGTGCGGGGGGACGCGGACCCGAGAAGCGACACGGTGCGTTTCTTGTGTGTCGCGCCCGCCCGCTCCGCCGGCTCCAGCTGCTGGGTAGGGGGCTGCGGGGTAGCGTCATCTGTGACGTAACAGGCACTATTCTGCATTGGAGGGAAACTGAGCTGTAGCAGTATGCCAGGAGGGCTTGATAATTAGTAGTATGATGATTATTAGTGTTGCTATCGTATCAAGTGTTATCATTATCATATCATATCAAGTGTTATTGGCTTTATTAGTTCTGATTGGCACTATTGATTAATAATGATGGGCATCAGTGTCTTTATGATGTATTAAATTATTTGATGATTATATTATCACTAGCATTATCCTGATGATGATAGCGGTGGTGAGGATGGGGTAAATGCTGGTGATCGTCATTTTATTATCGCGATCATCATGGTGATGATGGTGGCGATGATAATGATTATGGGATGGCTGGTCATTAGGAGAAGGTGATGAGGAGCCGTCGGCGTGGATACAGCAGGGGCAACCCGATGGCCTCCTATGACGAGACGACTGGGTTTGTGGGTGCAGGGAGATGCGGGGAGGAGGGGGTGGGATGGCTTGATTTTTAGCAAGCTTTTGATACGGTCTCGCAGGCAAGCTAAGGAAGTGCAGTCCATTCATCCAGCCTGTAAGGTGGATAGAAAACCAGCTGGAGCATTGGGACTTACAGGATCATAATCAATACCTCGATGTCCAGTTGGCAATTGTGGCGTGTACAAGCTCCCTACGGTGAGATGACTGGCTCTGCGGATGTAGGGAGACCACTGGATGTGGTGTACCTTGATTTTAGCAAAGCTTTCGATTCAATCTCCCACAGCATTCTTGCAGGCAAGCTAAGGGAGCGTACTTCCTTAGCTCGCCTGCAAGAATGCAGTGGGAGACCATATCAAAAGCCTTGCTAAAATCAAGGTGATTGCACTGGACTGTAAGGTGGACAACAAGCTGGCTGGAGCGTCGGGCTCAGAGGGTTGTAATCAGTGGCTCGATGTCTAGCTGGCAGGCGGTATCAAGTGGAGTGCCCCAGGGGTTGGTCCTGGGCCAGTTTTGTTCAATGCCTTCATTAAGGACCGGGAAGATAGGATGGGGCACACTCTCAGCAAGTTTGCAAATGACACCAAGTTGTGGGGAGTAGTGGATATGCTGGAGGGTTGGGCTATGATTCAGAGTGACCTCGATAAATTGGGGGATTGGGCCAAAAGGAATCTCCTGAGGTTCAACAAGGACAAGTGCAAAGTCCTGTGCGTAGGAGGGAACAATCCCTCCTACGGGAGGGATTTGCACTACCAGTGCAATGTAGCACTGGTACAAGTGGTGGTGGGGAGGGGGGCGCTCTGCAGAAAAGGACCTCTGGGCTATAGTGGGCAACAAACTGAACAGCAGCCAGCAGTGTGCCCTTGTTGCCAAGAAGGCCAATGACGTCCTGGGCTGCATTAGTAGGAGCGTTGCCAGCAGATGGAGGGCAGTGATTCTTCCCTCTATTCAGCACTGATGAGGCGACATCTGGAGTCCTGCATCCAGCTGTGGGCCCCCCCACTGCAGAAAGGATGTGGACATATTGGATAGAGTCCAGCGGGGTGTAGTCAAGTCGGAGAGAGTCCAGCGGAGGGCAATGAAAATGGTTGTGGGGCTGGGGGACAGGGCTGGTGAGGAGAGGCTGAGGGAAATGGGTTGATTGAGTCTGCAGAAGACCGAGGGGGGATTGAATAGCAGCCTTCACCTCCCTGCAGGGGGGCTGCAAAGAGGATGGAGCTGGGCTGTTCTCAGTGGGGGCAGATGAACAAGGAGCAATGGGTTCAAGTTGCAGGAAGGCAAGTTGAGGTTGGATATTAGGAAACCAATGTCTCACTAGGAGGATAGTAAAACACTGAAACAGGTTACACAGAGAAGTGGTAGAAGCTCCATCCTTGGCGGTTTTGAACACCTGGTTAGACCAAGCCTTAGCTGGGATGATGTAGCTGGGTATGGTCCTGCTTGGACCAGGGGGTTGGACTAGATGTGGCCTCCTTTTCTATGATTCTATTATCATTATTATTATCATTATGATGATGGTAGTGGTGATGATTATCATGACTATTATCATCATCATATTATATCACAAAACAAATACAACTAATGGAATGGTCTTCCATTTGCTAGACTCATAGTTAATGTTAAAAAAAAAAATGCAACAAACTAGGGACAAAAATAGTCCAAGTATGTTGTTTCAGTCCCGTAGTCATTATAGTTATAGGATCATCTCTTAATCAAATTCATGACAGTTAATCTCTCCTCCTTCATCTGCAATGCCGGAAGAGAGGTCTTGTGTGGAGTGGGTGTGTTGGGTGTGCAGCAAAGGTGAGAGCTGGTTCAACCTTCTGTGTATTGAACTAGTCAGTTGTGTAACAGTATGGTTGGAGGCTCTTTGTTAGACCTGTTGGTGACTGCCTTTCACTGCAACAATTGCAATTAAAACTTAATAGGACAATGAAGAAAGAAGAGTTTAAAGCATTAGAAGAATGGACTGTGATGACTTTTAAGGTGATCCCTCATTCCCATTGGCTGCAATCTCTCGCACAGTAAGGGAGAAAAAAGCCATGCTTGATTATTGGTTTCCCTAGCAGAAGGGACGAGATGTCTAGTTCAGGTGACCTGGAGCTGTTGTTGAATTCGCTTCCTCTTTCCCACGAAACGCGGCCAAAGGAATAGCAGAGGCGGGAGCTACGCTTCCTGCCTTCAGTGCTGATTCCTGGAGCTGGAGGGACGTAGGACTGGAAGGGTCTTCCCAGGACACAACGTCTCGTCTCAGCCTGTAGACCATCATTTATCCAAAGAGCCCTAAAAATCCACTCCCACCACAATCATAAAGCCTAGCTAAAGGCACCTTGCAGTGCGTTGTAAAGTTGATGCTCAGAAGCTCGTCGCTCTACATTTGCTTGGAAGACTGTGGGTTGGGATTTAGCTGGAGATGTCAGTCCTATCCTCTGACCTAGTTTGAAGATGTGGTTGACGAGGCTCAGACCTCGTGATGGTGACTGAAAAGGGCTGAGATTCACGTGAGGTATCCAAAATTGCCCAATGGAGCTAAGCAAGTGGAACAGAAGATCTTTTGTGCTTGGTACAAACGAGGCTCGGTAGAAAAATGAGATTATTTTGCATTGTGCTCATTTTGAAATGGAGACTTAAATGGTTGGGGCAGAACATGTAGTTTTGAGGGGGCTGGATTATTTTAGTTTTAAAAAGAAGTTGATGTTGAATCTGTGTGATTATTTTATTTCCCCATTGCTGGCTGTAATTAAAAGCTATTTCAGTACTACTCCACATTTTAACTCTACCTACGTGCGTTTTCCCACCTTGGTTTCCTTCTCTTGGGGAAACAGACGGCCCATGGGATGTGCCCAACCCTTGTTTTCTCCTTCTGAATCTTGGTTTTTCTTTTTGGTTCCCAATCCATTTCTTTCTCAAATGGTCCATGAGACCTTTCTGTAACCTCCTATCTCCCTCTTATCAGGAGACTCTGTGCTCAGTCTTGTTTGATGAGCTGTTCCTTTACCTCCTTATGGTTTGCTGTGGGAGGTCGCCGTTTTGGGTCTAGAGTTTGTCAAATAGAGACTTCTAAATGGCTCCTGGAATCCAAGAATCGCAGAAACTGAGGGTTAGAGGGACCTCACGAGGTCACATCGAGACCAGCCCCAACTCCATCATCCCAGCCAAATCTTTGTCTACCCAGGTCTTCAAAACATCCAAGGATGGAGAGTCTGCCATCTCTCTGGGGAGCCTGTTCCGGTGTTTTAGTACCCACCTAGTGAGCAAGTTATTCCTAATACCCAACCTTGCCTTCCCTTGCTGCAACTTGAGACCATACTTGGAAAATGGAGGTAGGAAGACAGCAGATGGGCTGAGCCTGCTTTTTAATTTTTTTTGCAATCCAGCTTGAGTTTGCAGTCCCATGAGGTGATAACTGGTGCATAGGTTGATTCCACAAGTCGTCACTAAAGCATCGTGCCCATTTTACAGATGGAGAGCCAAGGCCCATGGAGGTCCTATGGGGCGGAGCCAGGAATGGAGTCTGGTCTCCCAAGCCTCAGTTCAGTGACTAAGCTCCAAGGCTTGACCATCATGGTTGGAGCTAGTCCGTTTTCCCTGAGGTGCTGTGCATGTCAGGCTTGTATTGGGACATGGATGAAGCTTGACGTGTTCTGCTGTAGTTTTAGCTGATCTTGGCATCTGAATCCTGCAGTCCTGGCACTTTGTATGTGGGGGCTGCAGTATTCCAGTAAGAGTCTTTGCTTCTTCATGCTCTTGGGGAAGAGGAATTTGATGTCCAGGTGGAACTGTCTACCTTCAAAATGGCAGGCGGCTAGTCTTTCAGCAGATAAACTTGAACTGTCTACCTTCAAAATGGCAGGCGGCTATTTTATTCAGCAGATAAACTCGGCTTCCAGACTGCTGAGGATTTTGAGCTTCTCTTCCTCTCTCCTACTCCTATCCACTGGGTCCCCATCGGTGATTTGGAGCCAAAAGAAGTCTTGCTGCTCACCTTGTTTCTCCAGGCTAGTAAATACCATCTGCTCAAGGCAGAGTTGCAGTCGTGCTTGCAAGGCAAGGGGTTCCAAAGTGCTGTTCCCATGCAAGGAATAGCCAGGCTTAAACTGATGAGATGGGTTACAATCAGTCTGGTGGAGAGAAAAATATATCTGAATCTGGGCTCGGTGAGCTTGTCCCCAGTGCCTCTATACCAACCAGTCCCCTGGCTCTTTGAGCTAGTGATATATTCCCATTGCTGTTCCCAGGTGCATCAAGGCCGTTCTGCCACCCCTTTTTCCAAGTTGGACTCCACTATAGGTGGGTTCAGGGACAAAGCTTCTCGAAAGGGCCAAGTCTGCAGCCAGTGCTTGTCCTCATCTCTTCCCCCACTGCATTGCATTCATACACACCTTTTAATTTCCAGGAACTTTCTAGAAAGCATCATCCTGGAAGCAGGCGCTACTGGTCCCTATGGCCGACTGATGACGGGACAGATCACTTTGTCTCAGGTAAGAGATTATTTTGGGTGAACCTGCACAGCATGAGCATTGTGAAACCAGCCGGTGGAGGTGGCTTGGTCCCAGGCTTTGCTGGCACCCGGCCTGGCCGGCTAAGAGATGCTTCTTGAATCGTGTCCCTTCAGATTTTTTCAGGACTGGGTTCGTCAGTGGTAACTTTATGGGTTCCTCTAGCCTCTAGAGCAGGGAGTTAGAAGCAGTCAAACTATTTCAGATGAATAGGAATCTGGTGAGGACCGTAACATAGAAAAAACCTTTTCTAGTGCTGGAGTCATTGACCCAACTGCGTTCTGTTAACCTAGACTTCACCAGAAGTAAACTTCTCATGATGGACTTGAAACACCATATCCCAACAGATGAACAGTTTTGAGGGGGTTCAGTTTCTCATGCCTGCTTATTTTAACATATAACATGATCCCTTTTGGGTGATGGGAATGTTACTCTAATTTTTAAGCTGGTCACTGAGCTGGATGCAGATTGCAAGAAGGCTGCTGCTGCTGCCGGGATTTTTCTCCCAGAGGAGTTTTCCATGGCTTCGATCTTCAGAGACATTATGGATGAAGGGAGACTCAATACGCCCTTATTGGATGCTGCTGTAACTCTCCGGAAAAATGGTAAGTGCTGGTTACTTATAAAACAGGGGATCCTAACTCTGTTATGCCAGGTACTGGGAACGCGGCCCATTCATGTCACAAACTCGCCAGAGGATCATCTTTTAACTGTCCTGGATTCCTAGGTCAAAACTTGAACTTACTTCTGTTCCTGCTAGCCAGAAGGCAATGGCTGGACTACTTGGTTGCTTTCTATAGTGAAGGCTGACTTCAGTCTCTTCCTTCCTCCATTGTCAGTAAACCCAACTTTATTTCCCCGATGACTTTATACTGCAACCCCAAATGTATAGTTTGCCTGGAGGGGGTGTTGAATATACCCATGTTGGCCTAAGGACATAGGCAGGTAAGGTTTGGGGGTAAATGTGATATCTTTTATTAGACCAGCTAAATAGTTGGGGAAATTGTTTTTTACAAGCCTTTGGGCACAAAGGGTGTTTGGGCCCCAAAGCTTGCAGAGAATAATTTTTCCAACTTCTAATAAAAGAGATTGCATTTAGCCGAAGAGCCTTGTCTGTTTAGTTTGCTCGAAGGCAGGGGAAGCAAAATTTTTGGGGGTTGGCTCATGTTATAACTTGAGTGGTTGCAGTATGGCTTCAGTTTCCACCTCTAGCGCCCTTCCAAACTGAGATCCAGGTGGATGCAGAAGCCATGCTCTAAGTGTGAAGTTGCATGTTACATTCAGATCATACCGAGGGTACTTTAAAATGTTAAAGTTCGTTAACTCATGCCAATGCTCTCTGAGCATCTCAAACCTTTATGCCACCTCAGGAGAGGGTTAACTTCTGCGCTGCGCCATCTAGCTCATGTTAAGGTAACTTTGGTCTGCTCCATGGAGATGCAATGAGCAGCTTGCAGTCCTCCAGCTTCCCAGAATACACTGTACGTGGGTCATAAATCCAGTGCCAACAGCAAGCTGAAACAAATGTAGGGAATACTTTTGCAATATGCACTAAGTTTTTGAAATTTCTTGCCCCTGGGGTACTTGTGGAAGCCAATGGGATGATGCAAATGCGTGGAGGACAAGTCCATCGTGCTAAATATGATGGTCAGGGGTAAAACTTCTGATTCAGGATATTCTTAAACCTATGACTGCTAGTGAGCGGGTGGGTTTGATACAAAGGGGATCACTCTGTATAAGCCTTGCTATACCTTGCCTGTAAAGCAGTTATTCCCTGCTAGGGTGCTGTGGTACCCTGGGGTGCCTCAAGATCCTCTCAAGGGTTCACAAGATAAACCCAGAGTTTTTTAAATAGTGTTAAAAACATTCAGACCTGTTGTAGGCTTGCTGAACTCTTTGCAACAACAAATGCTTTATTAGTTCTCTGCACTAAAAAAAGAGTGAGAACTAACATTTGGGACTTTCCCTGGGTGCCTTGCATCTAAAAAAAAAAGTTGCAAGTCACTGCTGTAAAGCAGCTGCTGCTTGCTGCCAGAGGCAGGATGCTGGGCTGGATGGACCATGGATCTGTATGGCAGTTCTTATCTGCTGTAGTACTGGAAAATGGCCTTGCTAACCTTATTCTTACCTGTACCTTTGGTCCCTGGGCCCCATCCTGTTCCAGCTGTTCTTCCCACACCTTTCACCTGCTTGCTCTTTCGTCCTTTTCCCGTCAGCATCACTCCTGCACTCTGCTTCCTCTGAACGCGTGTCATGAAATTTTAGACATTTGCCAGCTCTCCAGCCAGGGAAGTTCCTGTGAAATCCTGCTATCTGTCAATAGCCACAGTCGAGCCTATTGCTTATGGTTCAAGCCATAGCATGGCCAGCGCATCACTCCTTCCCATGGCACACCTTTCCAAAGCTGTGTTCTCTAGGAGCCTATGGCAATCCACGTTTATCAACAACCAATTGCAAATCTTCTAACCAGTGAAGTTACGGGACTTGATGCTTAGATGGTGCTATTCATTTTCAAAGGGCTTGGATGATGTTTACTTAACAGAGTTTCACCAATTTAAATATTTTCTGTATGGCTACTAGTTAAGTCAGGTGTGCTGTCACCAAGCAAACAGTTAACGAAATGGTTTATCACCTCTCAAGTCTGCATCCTTCAGCTGACAGACCATTTCTGCTCTCCTCTGATGTTGTTATATTAGCTATAAGCCTGATTCGAAGCCTGCTGGCTTTAGCAACACCTGGATTGACAGGAAACCAGTTGAGAATACTCTGGGAAGATATGGGTGCAGAAACCACTGCTTTTGATTTAAAGATTGCATTGAGATCCCCATGGTGTGATTGCCTTGGTCTTTGACAGTGGCAGCTGTTGATAGGGTTTGGGAGATCAAGCAAAATTCTGCCCCTTTTTTTGGCCATTGGTAGAGACTTGTGTTTCTGACCAATTGGGCACCTTCTGTTCTGCCTGCCTCAGTTCCATTGGTCATCTTGGTTGGATGTGTTTAAACGTGTATTGCCCTAAATAATGCAGGGAAGTTGTGTTGTCAGAGGTGTCCTTTCCTGCATGGTGTGAATGTGCTTCAGGGAATCCTAGAACAAAAGGGCCAGAAGAAGAACCTTTGGAGTCCATTTCATCCAATGCTCACAGCAGGACCATCCCTGTCGAATCCATCCCAGACAAGTGCTGGTCTAACCTGCACTGGAAAACGTCCAGTGACAGATTCAACAGCCTCTTTTAAGGATGAAGTTGCATGTCACTCTCGGTCCATACTAAATCTGTGCAATATGAAGTGGTATTAAAATTAGAAGGTGCTGTGTATAGTCGCACATGAAGGGTTAATGCTGTTTCTTGCCTGCACAGCACTTATTTGTCACTAGAAGGCTAGTGAGCAGGGGTGTGACTAGGAGCTGCGGTACCTGGGCTCTACCTGTGCTCTGGGGGTGGGGGGAGGACTTGGGAGCAGTGCATCCTGGGATGCTAAAAACCTGCAAATTGCTCATTTTATCTCTGGTGCGGTCAGAAGTTACCCTAATACGAGCTGGGTAGCACAGCCCAGAGTTAACCCTCACCTGAAGTGGTGTCACTAAGATGCTCAGATGGCACTTTGCATGAGTTAATGAGCTTTTTAAAGTGTGGACACCTGCATTTTTAAGTGACCATAGTATAGTCTAGGAGTATTGTGTAACTTTACCCTAAATCACCTGCTCTAGCCACAAAATGAGAGAGTTCTTCCTAATGTCCAGCTTGTATCTCCCTTGTTGCAGTTTTAAACCCCTCATTGCTTGTCAAGTTGTCTGTAGATCCAGAATAATTGTTTGCCATCTTTATATCAACCCTTTTTGTCTTGAAGACTTATCAACTCCCTGCCCTCCTCCCAGGCTTGTCTTCTTTCCATTGAATAATCCTAGTTCTTTCAAACTTTCCTTGCATATCTTGTTTCCTAGACCTCTGACTTTTTGTTGTCCTCCTCTGGAATGGACCAATTGGACACGTCTTTTAAGGAGAGTGCCCAAAGTTGAGCACTGTGATTTCAGGTGACAGAAAGATCTTGGACTGAGAGCTTCCACAGGGAGTCTTTACTACCCGGAGTAGTGGCTTTGATGCCATTAGGGTCTCTTACATGAGTAGAGACTTGCAAATTCAAGCCCCTAGTTTGTCAAGCTCTTTTTCCATCCTCTGGGGTAAAAACATGGTGATGTACTGGGCAGCCGGATGGTGGAAAGACAGACTTCTCCTTCTGCCCTTCCCTGGTAAGAGTCTCTTGATCTCGCCCATTCCAGGATTCAAGACCTGTGTCCTAACGAACATCTGGATTGATGACACCCTTTGGAAAGGCAACGTGGGACTTATGCTCCCTCTGTTGAGGAGACATTTTGACCTGGTGATCGAGTCGTGCCGTGTTGGGCTCCAGAAGCCAGACCCTAAAATCTATGAGTATGCTCTGCGCATGCTGGAGGCAGAACCGCAGGAGGTGAGGCAAAACCGTCCTCTTTTAGAGATGGAAGACATGATCGGTGCTGGTCGAGTGACTTTTTTTTTTTTTTTTTTTTTTTTTTTTTTTTAGCGGGGTACCCTGTAAAAATTTAAGTCCCTTTCTGTTCTTCCCCAAACTTCCCTCCTGGCCCTAAGTTCAGATGTTCTCTCTTGAACCCAGGTTATTTTTCTGGATGATATGGGAGCAAACTTGAAGCCTGCCCGGGAGATGGGGATAGCCACAATCCTTTACAGAGACCTGGAGACGGCCTTGAAGGAGCTGCAGGACTTGTCTGGTGTTCAGGTACGCAGTGGCTAAAGGCTATACCAGCCTTTGTATCTCTCTCCCTGTTCCACTCTAAGCATCATCAGTTGTTTGGTGTTTGGATACCACAGAGAGGGATGCCATAGAGAATCTGCATACAATCAGGGAAAATGAGGGTTGGAGGGACCTTGGGAGGTCACATCTAGTCCATCCCCCTGCTCCAAGCAGGACCAGCCCCAACTACATCATCCCAGCCAAGGCTTTGTCTACCTGGGTTTTCAAAACCTCCAAGGATGGAGATTCCCCAACTCCCCTGGGTAACTTATGGGATGCTTTTTCTTGCTCAGCCTATTATAATTTACACTGGTTTCCATGGAGCAATCTTTGACTTTCTACTACAGAGGGTTTTCCCTAGTAATGCTGCAGCTCTGGCTGTGATGGTCCTTTCCTCCTTAAGGTCCTGGGGCTGTTTTTGTTCGGCTATTTTTTTTTAAATGCAAACCCATTTCCATAACCTCCACCCTAAAGGCTATTTCTTGAGCTTAATCTCTACAAGGTGAGTCCTCCTTCTCTAAAAATTTGGATTAAAAAAAAAAAAGTTTCAGGTCCTTAGTTTTGCAAATCAGACTCCTTTTCTGATGGAGCTTTTTCTAAATCGAGTGCTCTGCTTTACACATGTCTTGGAAAAAGCCACATTTTACTTCTGGGCACACTATTGATGGTAGCCTAGGTTGACACTAACTCCATCGCTCTGTGACTGTAACTGGGATTAGAGTTTTGGCTCCAGTTCTGAAACCTCTCTTAAGCATCTCGCAGTGGGGACAAGGCAGCCCAGCTTCTAAAACAGCAAATCAGACCTCTTGTCCGCAGGGAATTTTGTGGCAGCATTAGCAAAGTAATGAAGGCTAAAGATCTGGCAGCCCCAATCAGGTCTTCCAAAGGTCCTGGGTAGGGAGTTGCCAAGGAGACTTGGCTATAAGCCTGAGAGGTGAAGCCCTGTAAGAGATTAAAAACGGTCTGAGAAATGAAGCGGAGTGGGAAATTTAATGAGAGGGGAATGAGGCTAATAAGGTCAAGCCCTGCACTCTAGAAAGAGGCTGCTGCTCCTGCCTTATGGTGCTCCTGATTTGTAACAGTATTCGGCAAGTCCAAGCCTCTGACTCATTGGTTTATTTAATCATGCTGAGACTGGATCCTGTTAGCACAGAACGTTTTAGAAGCTTTCCACATTTCTGCTTTTCCTAGCCTAATGCAATGCTTGTACCTTCAAAGGCTTAGGGCAGCAGGGTCCTTGTTCTCAACAGATCCTCTGCCCTTTTCCTTTGGGCTGGATCCTTCTAGCTCACTCCCTTCATTCGGCATTGCATAGGGAAAGTTACCTGTAGCTAATGGTTCACCAAGTTATTGGTTAGCTTTGGGTGGACTTTGTTACGCTGAGTGTACTGTGACTCTGACCTTTGTTTTCACACTAAATCCAACGTCTACACACCTGGTAGGTAATCAGGGCCAGGTGACACTACCATAAGAGGAAGTTGCTTAACGTCTTTGATAATCCAGTTTAAACATGCTCTCCTGCCAAAGTGAATCTCTGCCAATATGCCTACTGTTTCCTTGCATTTTCCTACCAGCTGTCTCTGCCTGCTGTTTCTGGCCTCAAATTTAATCCCCGCCCTGAAAACAGACTGTCTAAATTTTGTCTTGCATGCTGTTTGAGCACATAAATGGGGTTCAGCTGGTGATGGGTATTCCTAGGTTGCCACCCTCATGCAAGTAGCCTTCATCATAATTGCTTTGGTTGGACGTACAAGTCTTGCCAAAGGTCATTGGCAGTGTTGCACTGGGCCATGAAGCGCCAGAGGTAGCTGCAGCCACTTCCAAGGAAGTCTTTAAAATGTGAGGTTGCCTCAAAGCTGGTGCCCTAAGGAGGCTTCAAATGATGTGCTGCAAATACCCTGTGGTAACTGGGTGCCTGGCAGCAGGGTTAGACATAGCAGTGTTGGTGTGTACCTGAGCTTCCTCTGTTCACCATACAGCTTCTTGGCCAAGAAGAGGGATTGCCAACTGCCTGTGACCCTGCCAATGTGAGCCATGGATATGTGCCAGTCAAGGTAGGCTTTCCAGTGGGGTTAATCCTATCCTGTATTGATAGTTGGGTGTAGCAGCATGACGACAGTGATGGATGGCCCCATTAGGACTCCTAAGAGGATGCCCTTGCTTCCATTGCAAGTGTCTGAAGGATGTGAATACCCTTCCTTGGTCAAATGGAGTGGGCTAAAACTAATTCAAGTCGGGTATAGGCTGATGGTCAAAAAGGGCTCTGACCATGTGATGCTAGCCATTACCCTGTAGGCCATTCTTTAGAAGATAAATTGCTTAAATTGGGCCTGGAGGGAGCACTGGTCCAGGTGCTACAGTGGATTAGGCTAGGGACAGGTAGACTCCAGAAAGGTAGGGAATATGTTTATAGGCTGAGGACCCCAAGTACCTGACATTTGGGCTGTGCAGCTGGGTTGTGTGCTCATCTACCCAAAGACCCTGGAGTATAATAAATGTGGCAGATTTTCAGCCGTAGCTAGGACATGAATTATAAGGAGCTGTCTCTTCTCCAGCCTGGAGTCCAGCTGCACTTTGTGGAGATGGGGCAGGGCCCAGTGGTATGCCTGTGTCACGGGTTTCCTGAATCCTGGTTCTCCTGGAGGTATCAGGTAAGCCTAATACTTGGGCAAAGGTTGCCAGAAGTCTGGCTTCTGTGGGAGTCAAGAGGGAGGAATGAGCTATAGGGCAGCACGGCATCTTCCCATCTCGTGTGGACCAGAAGGGATGGATTTTTGTCTGTTCTTCCATGGTCCCATCATCTCTACAGTGCCATGACCAGCAGCAGCTCAGAGGTGTGGGGACTGGCCTTTGTAGACCTAGCTATAATGGGATGCTGTGTCCTACCAGTGTGCTGGCTGGTGGAATATCCCTTGCCAAGCTGGGAGACTTTCTGGACCCACGGGCCAGGCTGGCTACCTCAATGGCCTCTGCTGAAAGGTGTCTTATAAAGGGGTCAGTGCCATACTCTGCTCGCATCTCAACACAGAGGTGGTGTCTTGACTCCACACAACTCTGCATGGCCCTTCTGTTAGTCCTGTCCTCTGCCTACCCATGGCTTTGCACCCGAAGCCTGGTCTGCTGTCCCATATCTCTGGCCCTTGCTGGTGACCTGCACCCCATGCCACCATCCACTCCTGATGTCTGTTCATTTAAAGGCTCCCATTAAAGCCTTTAAAGCCCACTCTGGAACCTGTATCCAGGATGCAGTTCTGTATTGACAGGCCCTGCTCCCTGAACCTCCTGCCATCTCACTGATTCAGTGTTTAATGCAAGTCCACGTGTGCCACTTCATCTCCTTCAGTTTTTGCTTCTCCCTCTAGATTCTGCACCACCCCATGGCCAAGACTTGATATCAAGCTATTTTTACTTGATATTTGAATCCCCTTCTTCTTTTTTAGTAAGAAAACCCCAGTCTACTAATGGTTGGCTAGCTTGGTTCCTTTACTAGAGCACTGCAGTATTTAATGTTCATATGAATCTCCTTCCCAGCATACTGTGCTTGCTTTGTAACCCAAGAGCCTTAGCTGCAATGGGGGAAAACAGTAGGCAGCTGTTTGTATGTAAGCTGGTATAGGCTCCCAGCTATTAGTTTAGTTAAAGCTCAAGGTTTTTATTTGAGGTTGTATGTTTCTGCCGTAGATCCCTGCATTGGCTGATGCTGGCTTCCGGGTCATTGCTTTGGATATGAAAGGCTATGGAGATTCCTCTGCTCCACCAGGTGAGGGGTTGGGAATGGAAGATCATAGAAAATGAGGGTGGGAAGGGACCCCAGGGTGTCACATCTAGTCCAACCCCCTGCTCAAAGCAGTACCAGCCCCAACTACATCATCCCAGCCAAGGCTTTGTCTACCTGGGTCTTACAACCTCCAAGTGTGGAGATTCCCCAACTCCTTTGGGTAATCTGGTCCAGTGCTTTACTGTCCTCCTAGTGAAAAAGTTCTTCCTATTCTAACCTCAACATCTCTTGCTGCAACTTGAGATCCAGTTCAAGATGATCCCATTGTGAGACAATGGGATCATAGAGAGGCAGCAGCAAGGCGCCAGACCACCAAGCGCTAACCCCGAGATGTTGCAGAGTCACTTGGAAGGACTGGATGCGTCTAAGTCGGCAGGCCCGGATGAGCTCCTTCCGAGGGTACTGAAGGCACTGACTGATGTCATTGCACAGCCACTGGCAAGAATATTTGAGCACTCGTAGTGCACAGGCCAGGTCCCGGAGGACTGGAAAAGGGCCAATGTGGTCCCTAGTTTCAAGAAGGGGAGGAAGGAGGATCCAGGCAATTACAGGCCAGTCAGTCTCGCCTCCATCCTTGGTAAAGTCTTTGAAAAGATTTATTAAGGCTCATATATGTGAGAGCCCAACAGGAAAAATTATGCTGAGGAGAAACCAGCATGGGTTCGTAGCAGGTAGATCATGCCTGACTGATCTAGTCTCTTTTTATGACCGGGTTACAAAACACCTGGACGCAGAAGTAGGGGTAGACATCATTTACTTAGACTTCAGGAAGGCCTTTGATACGATATCCCACCCCATACTGGTGAACAAGTTAAGAGGCTGTGACCTGGATGATTACACAGCCCAGTGGGTGGCAGATTGGCTAGAGGGTCGTACCCAGAGAGTGGTGGTGGATGGGTCGGTATCGACCTGGAAGGACGTTCATAGAAGTAGGGTCGGAAGGGACCTTGCAGATCTTCAAGTCTGACCCTCTGCCTGGGCAGGAGGGAAACTGGGCTCAAGTGACCCCAGCCAGGTAGGCATTGAGCCGCTTCTTAAAGACCCCCAGGGTAGGAGCCAGCACCACTTCCCTTGGAAGTTGGATCCAGTTCCTAGCCGCCCTAATGGTGAAGTAGTTCCTACGGATGTCTAATCTAAACCTATTCTCCAAGAACTTGTGGCTGTTATTCCTTGTTATCCCGGGGGCGCTAGGGGAAACAAGGTCTCCGCCAAACCCTTCTGGTCCCCCCTAGTGAGTTTATAGATGGTCACAAGGTCCCCCTTCAGCCTTCTCTTGTGAAGGCTGAACAGGTTCAGGTCCCG